ATATATTTTTTTAAATCCTTGAGCTTTTACGAATTGTTATATTTCAGAATTTTATTTTCATACATTTTATTCGTACGCCACAAACAGAAGAAAATAATATTGAATATGATAACAATGAAAAGGGGCGAACAATGAACGAGAATATACAAAATTTATATTCAATTTATTTTCAAACTTTATATTCAATGCCTTTAACCAAATATGCAGCCTTCACTTCGCGTACGAGTATCACGATCGCAATAATTACGCTTTAAATAAAAAATTAATATACTCTCTTTTTTATGTATATCCTATTGCGTAGTTTATAAATTAATTATTAGATAGCCATGTAAAGTCTGAGTATTTTGAAGTTGTTGAAGAAATGACATAATAACGATTAATAACGTACACAAAAAAAGTCATATATTAATTACTTGATGATGATAAATGTGTTTAATAAAAACTATTTCTGATTTTTTCTATTCACTTATTAAATAAATAATTTAACGTCTATTTAAAAACTGCAAATAAGCCTAGTATTTATTATACTGACCCGTGCAAGTATTGTTTACTGACAAAATTTTCTTTATGTAAAATGTACTAAATTATTATTTTACATTATTATAAAGAAATTGCTAATACTTTTTTTGTATAAAGTTCATAATGGTTTATCGATTAAAAATGAATAGAATTAAAAAAGCTAAAATAGGTTGAACTGAATTTGTAATAAAATTAGAAGTGATGAACACACATCGATTCAATTTTAGAAATAAAGTAATGACATCGCTTTCAGAAATAAATTAAATAAATAAGAAAAATTCGACTGGGTCATGGTGGCACAGATTATTATTGCTTTGATAAAAGTCATTAATCTCATTCTTGTTTTCGAAAGTTAACTCGCCTGTATTCCGTTCAAGCTACCAATTCAATCTTAACAAAACATCTGAGCTTTTCATCTGAAAAATAAATTCACATCAAATGTTGTATCGAATCAACGATCATCCCGAATTTTTCATTTTTATCTTTTTAATGAATCTTAAAAACGAAGAATCTCACAATTATGCTTTGATACTTGGCTCGGGTAATACGCAATACAAACAAAGTAAAATGCCTCATTAATTATTAACTATTTGATGAGTGCAGCATTTGCAGCAAGCAAACTCGTACTTTGTGAGTGTATTTATTCTATCATAATTTGTAACTATTAAATATATATATATATATATATATATATATATATATATATATATATATAGTTGTAAACGCTTATAAGGGTCATCTGATAACAACTATAACTAGACTCTATTTGCTGCCACTTGCATAGTATCTTATTTTACCTAATCTTTATAATTTTTGTATACAGCGCTTGTTGAAAGAAGTTTTAATCATAATAATTATTTAATTACTAATGTGCTTAGAATACGTTAATGTCATATTTAAATGAACTTCTTTAATATACAATTTTATTCATTAAATATTTGTTGGCATAAATTTTTTACAATGCATAATCTTCAAATTAAAGTGTACTCACATGAAAAAATAATATTTTTATCTAAAGTTAAATTACTCGAATTACAACACTTTCCGGTAACTCTCTATTACATTAAAAATTATAATTTTCAAGCTGTAATTTTTTAATTATAATTTTAAGCATAGAGCTACTAAATAGAATTCACAATAAAATGGTTAGAATTTACATGATGCAAGTCACCATTACCATTCTATAATATACAAGATTAATGTATCGTTGTATGTGCTAATCAAACAATGAGCATTTAAAATGAGCGAATCAAGTTTCTCAATAAAAATTTCATATCGAAATTAAACCTTTATAAATGAAATAACTTTATAAAAATTAACTAGTAATAATAAATACCGTTAATTAACGGTATCAGAAGAAGTTTCTTAATTATAACATTAAAGTATTAGCAAAGTAAGAAAACATTTATACATATAACAATTATTCTGTCAAATAAATTTCGACCTGTACATAGGCACATGGAATCGTATCATTTATAGTAAAGTACGTAAATAATTATCATAGCTCTTTTTAATTTTAATTGCCAGAAGTAACTGTTGTAAGCTCAAAGAAAAATAGTCTCAAAAGTTTAATAGAGTCAAATAAAATTGAACCGCATACATTTTCATATTAATTCTTTATATACTATATTTTATCTGGAGAGATGTTAAATATTAATTAATATATTTCTGCCATGTGTATCAGATTCGATGAGCTTGGAGTACAAAAATCGAGAGTACTATATTTTTTAGTTCATTCGTTTATGCACTGTTGAAGCATGTAAATATAACGGGAAAAAGTGGTTAGACTTTCTTATTACACACAAAAAAAAAAAGAAAAGACTAAGAAAGTGTGGAGTCAACATAAAGAGAAGAGAGAACTTTGATGCCCTTAACTAAATAATGTTCTATGTTACAAAGTACTAAAAACTATTTTTGGCAAAGTACATTAGGTTTATGTAATACAGGGCGCATCTTGTATGATGCACTGGCCATTTGTGTGTATGTATTATGCTCTATTTATGGTGTTTCGTTTTATATAATACTTTATTTGACTAAAGTCAAAAGTTTAAAGCGAATTCGCAACCTATAAAGTAACTGAGATAAAAATATGTATATTTTTGCTTCGACAGTGATCTAATTTTTAAAGCATCTTCATTATTAGATAAAGTAAAATGAGAGCAAGCAGCAGCAGTGAAGTTACACAAGAATTTGTAACGATTCAAGGAAATCCTGCTACTCAATTATTATTATGCAATTTTCACAAAATTTTTGTTTTTATGTTACAATTAAAACATATATTATAAATTTTTTAAAAATAATGTTCTACAATTTTAAAGAATAAGATATTTAGTTTGTTTATTTAAAAATCGTAAAAAATAAAAAGTCTTATTACGAATTATTTTTATGCGTTATATTTCATAAACATTCATTAATCTCCAATTAAAAATGCTATATTACGAATTCTTGAAAATATAAGTAGACAGATTAAACGTAATTTAAAATTTAAAAAATTATAATAGAGTGTTTTTATTTTAATTTTCATTTGGATTTAATATAATTTAATACTGATGTAGAATTTTTGCAATTTTATATTATAAGTTCTGCATTGATTCCCTTATAAACACTCCAGAGCATTTTTACATACCATGAATAACTCATCTGTATCTCAACAAATATACTTATATTCTTTCTTAAAAATTTAAGTCGATTTTTAAAAAATAAAGCCTCAATTGATTTTATTTTCACAATAAAATTTATTTGAGAAGATAATCATTAAAAACGAAAAGGAATATGTATGATGCTTTAAGCCAATTTTTAAATATACAACAGACACTAGGGAGTTTTCCTTCTATTTCTTGCCTTAAGGAAGTTTATGGTGTATTGTCAATTTGGTATCCCAATGAAAGCGTATTATGATGTGGGAGCGATAACAACTTCAGATTTACCTCCTCCTTTAAATCTTAAGTACACAAGCTTTACGAACTCTGACTTGTCTTTTTTCCGTTTCTCTTATGTGCTTCGCGTAGCTTGACGATGAATTTATATATATTTATATATTTTAGAAGTATACAAACTGTTATTCTTAAAATCCCTAATGCCTTTAAATTATTTTAAGCTTAAAAACCAAAGAATTAAGATGAGACATTGTGAAAATTTACTCACATTGAGTAAGATAATACTTGTTAAAAACTGTTGCTACCTAAAAACTGTTTCTCTTTATTTCTTTTAATACTTACAGATGGAGAAAAAATATATAAAAATAGCAACATACTTTATAAATTTTTTTTTGTTAATAATAGGAAACAAAAGCAATTTTTAAAAAATATTGTGAATATTAGAAACTTAATTCAATCTATGACGTTTACATAGTAGTTCGTATTAATGTAATTTATATTATATTAATCACATATTAAATTGTGCACAATATTTATAGTTGTTAATGCTTTAATAAAAATGATTTGGTTAAAACAAAAAATTAATGATAAATATAAATTGCTTTTGTCTTCTCTTTACTATACTATAGCCAAAATTACTATTGTACACTATTTTTTTCTCTTTTGGTAATAATCATTATTTACTTTCAACTTATACAGCACAAAGATAAAAACGAATCATCTGTGAAATACATGCATTATTTAATACATGTTAATGCAATATTTTTACGATAAGTATTATCTTTAAGTCAGAGAGCATTATTTTATCATTTTTTCATTTTCCTTCCACTGAAAAAGAAACATAAAATTACGAAAAAAATTTACTAATATTATTAATGAATTAGCTTCATTATTAGTAAATATTCAGTCTCACTGTTAATTCACAGAAAAGACAGTGTCTACGTTATTTATGAAATACTTGTTTTTCTCTTTTAATATTTTTAAAAGTACTAATTTTCTGATGGAAAATTTTTAATGAAAATAGTAGAAAACCAGTAGCTTTCTTTAATCGTATGTAATAAAAATAACTTCTTACTAAATTAAAACATACGTTACCTCTATATAAAGTTAAATTTAATTTTAAGCTAAATTGTTGTAATCATAATTTTTAAGATCTAACCTGTTTAAATCGTATGGTGAAATTTGTATTCGATAAAAGCTTGCTTTTCTAAGGCAATTAACTATTTTTGTACACTTTAACGTTGTTTGAGATAAAGCAGGTGCGCGATTGCCCAAAAAACTCATCCATTCCGTAGTACAGATAAATTAAAATGCCCAAAACAAAAAAAAATATATATATACCAAATTTTTATTCGTCAAGACGCGTAACAATAAAATCGAAGCTTAGAGAGCAAGGTATTAAAGAGACAATTAGAGAAGGCTTAATATTAATAAAAATTAATCGAGTGCCCTTTTATATCTCCAGAGGCTTCGTTATTCTTCTCTTCTTATAATAAAAACAGACAACTGCTCGCGCCTTGTCTTATAAATTTTATATACATGATTTTCTATTTCTTCTCGTCTAGCAGAAAAAAAGAAAACTCTCTCGCGAGCGTATAAAAAATTTTGTATAAAAATAACCTTCCTTCCTCCTCATTCTCGTATACGTATTAATCCTATGTACAATTTGAGTAACCGCTTAGCCTTTCTTTCGCCTGTATTGTTCAACTCTTCGCGCTCACATTTTTCATCTCTTTACTCTTAATACTGCGACATTATAATATCAATAGAATTCCCTTCTTATTAATCCCGTCTCCCTTGTTTCACTCGTCGTACGTACGTAAGTATCGCTTCCACGCGCTCGTCACCTCATCAGGAGTACAGCCGTCCTTAGTCTTTGTGTATAAAAAATATAGATGTGCATCTCCCGCGATGGGTTCGCGCTCGTTATCTGGCCTGACCGCTCGCGATCCTTAATGAGCTTAAGATTTTGTCGGCACAAATCCCGCGGGAGACGCGTCAGTGGGCCTCCTCGGCAAGCGACGTGGCGACGAGGTTCAGCGGCACATCCGAGATGTTTTCTTCGTCGCCATCATCGTCGATGTCGTCAGCTTCGTCCTGGCGTTCATCCTCCGTTTTCACGTGCTGCACAAAAAAAATAATAAAGTCATTTTGTAGTCGGACCCGTAACGAACTTTTGTATTTATATCGGCAAAATAGCTGCTCCCGATATCCATCACCTGTATCTCCAGAGACAGGAGAATCATCAAAGTGTATATTTTATTTTGAAAAGTTATTCATATGGTTAGAATTAATCCGAAGAATCAAATTTCGAGATAAAGCTTTTTATGTTGCAAAATTGTCCAAGTAAGAAAAAAGAAAAAGGATCGATTATTATCGAATCCTTTTAAATCGAAGTTTATTTACATAATAATCTTAAAGTAGATAAGGATTCTAGTTTTAAAGGCGTTAATTCATTAACTCCAACGGGGCATATTAAATCAAAAGTCGTCTTTGCCACTAATGTTTGTATAAAGCAAGTCGTCAAACCCTATGCTTAATTTACGTTTAATCAAATTTAATGCAACGTTTCTTTGTCGATTAGTCTTAAGACAACACTAAATTGCTTCGTGAGATGTCTCTTGTATTCATTTAAGATACGTCAAGGAAATCAGTGTCATTATATTTTATTGTTGTTTCTAATTACTTAATTGCCTCAACGCATTTGCAGGTGTGCCGTCTATAGAAATAAGTAGATTGTCTGCCTTCTAGTTGCATTTTAATCTGAACAAATATCGCTTACCATTTATCTTTTAGAGCGCAATAAGAAAGGAAACAATAAAATACTTAAAGACAAAGTTGAACAGGATTTTTTATAGCACTATTAGTACCGAATAAAATGCTCCCCAAAGGCGATTAAACATATTTAATTCAGATGCAAAGGTGGACTACTATCTTCCTACGGTGTCGATTCGAAAAAAATTATCAATGCTTAATTGGTTTACTAATAAAGTATTCTGATATTAGTACAAGACATCCGTAATACAAGGCATGGTATCTTGGTTATTCATCGTTGATTCTAATCACAGCGGATCATCATAAAGATGGCACGTAACGCTCGCTCGCCGACTTATTGTTGAAGGGGTCGTTACATTTCACTTTACGGGCACCAGCGCGATCGATGAGTATTAACCAAGAACCAATAGCCGTCACGGGTGCCCTAACGAGGCCCTAAACTATGAGCAAACAGGTCTACCGTATGCCAATACACGCGTACTCACGTGCATCATAAAGCTGCTAAGGGGAATGCTGAAGTTGATGGGCGCTCCGGCGAGGGGTCCGCCCCGCACCTGCGGAACGCCGCGCGCCGCCTGCGGAGGCGTCGTCAGGGCCGCCATCATCAGATGTGGTTGAATTTGACGGCGCAACGCCGCGAGCATATCGGCACTTTCGGGGTCCATCGGCTCCTGATGTTGCTGCTGCTGTTGCTGTTGCTGTTGCTGTTGCTGCTGCTGTTGTTGCTGCTGCTGCTGATGGTGATGGTGGTGGTGATGATGCTGTTGCTGCTGGCCCCCTAAGGCACCGCCGTCGCCTTTTTCTGCCAAGTTAAAGCAATTTTAAAAAACGCAGATCGTTATGGAGAATTCGAGGGATTATTGGCCTTGCGATACAAGGATTTTTGAAGGTAAAGGAATATCAGCTTTACAGGTAAAGCTCTTATGTTGTTGCTAATATATTAAAAATTAGGTATATAAAATTTTCCAAGTGCTTATGCATGAAAAATACCCCACGTTTCTGATACGATCATCGGATTGACGAAATTAAATTCATAAACCGTATCAACGTTTCCTCTAGTGAGGGCAAACTTTATTACAGATTTCTAATAATTTCTCTAGAATTTATAATTAATAATTATTTGTAATTGAACTATCGAAGTTAAATAAAATTATAATGCAAACTAGGCGCGATAAGAGTTTAACAAATTTGTAACAAATAGTTTGTATTATATTTAGCATAAAACTTGTCAAATAATACAGTTGTAATTGACAAAATAGGGCGATTATTGCTGTAAAATAAAATTAATCGTCCTGCCGTTGCAAGTCGCATCGTACTCTTAGACTTGAGTCCAAGTTAAAGAAGCTCGACTTTAATAAAAGTGCTGTGCGATCCATTATGGTGTTAATGCTATAGATAGAGACAATGGTAAGGAGAGTAGGTAGGGGAAGGGGACGGAAATTTCTTCCAATTCATGTAACTCCAAAGGATTTCCTCCTCCTTCGAGAAAGGAGAATCCTTTAGATTAGATGGATGCATGGCCGCGCGCCATTGCAAATATAAGATGAAATGTCGTTAATCGTACTTCGGTGCCTGGTGGGCTTCTCGCCCTTGGGCCTGCGCCGACGTGTGTGTATCGTATCTCGACGCATCGTCATTGGCCGATTGACCCCGTGGAGTTTGTAATACAGTCCGCAAGCGTTGCACACCATTTCGCCCTTCATGTTCCGCCTCCAGATTGTCGTGGTCATTGTGCCGCAGTTCGTACACGACATGTCAACCTTCTTCGCGACGCTATTGCTGCCGTTGCCCCCCACGACGCCTTGTTGGTCCACCGACTGTCTCTGTTCATCCTGTAACTGTAGGACACGGATATTACAAACATATGCAAGCACATAGAAAGTAAAAGTGAATGAGTGAATGAGGAAATGAGTGAGTGTGAGAGAGGGGGGTGGAGATAGGGGAGATGGAGAGAAGGAGAGAGATAGACGGAAGTTGAAATTCATGTCTTATGGGAGACACTATACGAATAAAGCATGACATCCTAAAGTAAAAGTTGCTGAACGACACGGCGCGTTCATGAATTGGCAAAGTATGTAAAAAGAAATAAATACGCTAATGAGTGTTTCTGTAATAAATGAATATGGCAGCCTACATTTGTATTTAATGAGCTCTGTAATACTAAGCATTAATAGTTCTAAGCGTTTTCATATATAAAAATTAATTATGTACTAATTTGACGAGGGAGAATAATAATGACAATTTCATAAAATCTTTTTACAAAATGTTCAAACTTAATAGTTTTACAACTATTACACATAAATAACAATAATCTTAAAATATGCAATGTTATTAAAAAAAATCTTTTACCTTACTCCAAATATAAAAAAAGTAAACTCATAAAAAATGCTACTATTACAACTTTTTCTAACTATTATGAAATATCGCCTTGCGCATTTCCGCATTTGACTGCCAAAAAAACTTGCGTTCTCTCAGCTTGTTGCCTCTGCATTATCCAACAGTTACGACTGTATCGCTCACAACTAATATAAAAATAAATTACAATGAAAAATAATATTTATCACAACGTTTACTTTTCTTTATACTTTGAATACTCCATCGAAAGAATGTTATTTAAATGTGTATGGAGGAGGAAATTGAGAAAAAGAAACTGAATTTTAGTACAACCTTTTTTCCAAGTATCAGGATAAAGCTTTCATACTCCTGTAGTTTTGAATGATTTACTTTTCTTAAGAACACGAAAAATCTGGAGATTTTTATGTTTGCTTAGAAAAAAATTAAGCCCTGAGATTTTAACAAAATTTAAGGAATGAAATAATAAATAAATTATAAATAAATAAAATATAAATTAAATCTTAAAAAAGTAGAAGATAAAAATATAACTTCGAGACTGCTAAGCTATTAAATAGAACGTTTTTCAAATAATAATTTATAATTAAGAAAATTTTTAAGATTTTAATTTTTGAAGTTGCTTTAACTTTTTAAGATTCATATTTTTAAGAAAAAAATTTTTTTAAAGAAAATTATATTCAATTTTTAAAGCAAATCTAAAATTATGTAAATGAGCCTATAGTTATGAATTAACTAGAAAGTTAAAAAGTGGAAAATAACAATTAATGTAGTTAATTTCGATTTTATTGAATTACAGCATAACTAGAATTTACTAATAATAATTAATATTATTGTTTATTTAACATTAATTTATATTTCTATTTATAAGTCTATTCTTACATAGAGAGAAACCATAAATTTTTCGGTTGGGAGAAGAGGAGTAACAAGAGAAAGAACTAACGTGCGTGTGTACGTGTGTGTGTGAGAGAGTAAGAGAGAAAGAGAAAAGGTAACAAGCGTAAGAATTATACTAAATATTCTTATTGCAGTTAAAGACATTCTCTCACTTTTCATTGTAAATTTATAATTGGGCGAATATTGTGCCTCTCCGCTATGTATTTTTGTGCGCATGTATTACATATATGTATAGACTTACGGTAATATTTGAGTGTAGAATATTAAATATAACAGTGAATAAGAATTTGCCACCTTTCGTACACATAATACGCCAAGGATACAAACGGACTTCAAGATATATCATCTGCAAATCCCTTTTGAAATACGAGGAACTTATGAACCCTGCGACCATTTACCTACGTACATACGGAAAACGCTAGTTTATGGTAGCGACCGACTTTTCTGTGGCTCTGATCCTCAATTTTGTAGATTTTAACATAAGCCGAATGATATTTTATTTTACCTGATGCACCTTCGGAAAAACAAGGGTGAATATCTATTTTCCCACTTTGTTCACTTGTTAATAAAACTAAATAAGCTCGCGTAATGTCTGCAATTTTGTAATATGATTAATATGCTAATATTTTATTTATGAATTATTATTATGTGTGAAGAAGATAACAATTATGTTTTGTTTATATGCGATTATTCTCATTGTATTTGTAGACTATAATTGTAATTAAAATGAATTACATAGAATTTTTAATAAAATTTGAATAATATTTGGTAAATAATATAGGCAACTATAAATTTTTGCGTTTATTATTCTATAAATATGAAATTAAGATTTTTTCTCTTAAACATCGATGCCCATACAAGTTAATCTACGATTAATATATAAATTGTAGATTGATATCATAGATTGCAAATTAGTATATTGTCATTTAAACTACTTCTCCATATTATTTACCATACGTATCTTGGCAAACATGAATAAATAAAATTTTATTTATTTTAATACTTGTCAAAGTTAGAAACCATTAATTTTGTTAAACAAAGATAGAATCTTTTTAATTAAGTAGCTATGCCTAAGTGTTTAATATGCCAATTTATCATTGCAAACGTATATTCAGGAAGTTTCATATTATCGATCAACAATAATTGGGAAAGTCATTCGAACGTTTATTTTATTCACGCGAATTTGGTAATTAACTAATTGAATAAACTTGTGCATTTACAGGCCAAAAAATATTAAGAAATCTTGAAGAATTTTGAGATCCGGACAAACCCAAGCACACCAAGTTCCATGTTTGGATTGGAATTTGAATCTAAATTCATTCGAACATTCATATAGTTAAAATTAGGCGAGCATATTTGGTTGCTTTATTTATAAGTCAACGTATGAAAAAGATGAATAATTATTGAACTTTTTATATATTATTTGAGGCCCCGTCGAATTCACGATTAAAGAGTCATTTACGACTTAACTAATTGCAGTTAAATTCATTGGTTTAAATTTGCTGGGAGATACATGCCATTTAGTGAAGTTGTCAATCCCATTTTAATTATTTTCAAATTTAACGTCCTGCAAATAATATCTTATATTAAAACAAGTATTGTTTTATATATTTACATAATTGACAAGAATTTAGGAGCTATCAATAAAGCTCTTTGCTATTTTGTTAAAACGTACTTAGTTTATTATCTTTATTAGTTCTATATCAATATACTTTTTTTGTTCTTTTACAAATTATCAAGTTATTCTGTCCACGATATTCTTGCACATGAAACTGACTAGTTCATGAATTGGGAGTAAATAGTGAAAACAACAAATTAAGCCATTCATCTTTCCTTATTGCAATCTCTCGGTTTGTCACTTTTGCACTTTTTATAAAAGTTATGAGGTTAAAGGTATCTAACCTTTCGTTTTATTTTATTGGACCAGGCAGTAAAGTCGTGGGCCTGCTCTTCCAGAGACTCCTGTCGCTGATAGTCAACGGGACTTGTTGGCGCCTTACTCGGATAGCTTTGCTTCCGCCTACCCTTCGTCTCTTTCCGGTTGCTACCAAATCCCCCTCCTGCCCCGCTGCCACCACCACTTGCTGGACTCGATGGATTACTATCCATCGATGTATTCTGGAATTAAATTTATCTTGTCAGCAAGCTATGTATATAATATATTTTAAAACTAAAAGATTTATTAAACAAAGCTTAAAGTCACACTGTGATGCGATTAATTTCAAACGTTGAAGCATTTTACACGCAGCACATTATTTCGGATTCGCAGATATAAATTTTGTATGTATTGTTACATCGATACACAAGTCTTTCATTTAATGCATTCTTTGATGTACACTTTATCTTGGTTTGAATTTTTAAAGTCTAAAACTCAAGTTCATATTAATTAATTCACACATGGTTCACATTTTTATTATTCTGAGCATTTTAAATGTTAGAACAAGTATGTTTTTCACTACAAAGAACGTTCATATTTGAATCATCAAATCAACTCTCTAATTTAAATTCTATTCATATATTCATTCCCGTAGGCGTTATAAAACATACTAATCGTTGGCAAGCGCGACTAGCAAATTTTTATACAAATTCGTTCGTACAACGCATTCCGTCATTGTACAAAAATTAGAAATGCAGCGATAGCAATTTTAGATACTTTTACAACGCGAACATCAATGTCAAATAAATAGCTATACGATGCTAACGCTGATTATCAAATTCATTTGCAAATATGCAAAGGTTTTTTAAAATAGCATGCTCTAGTGTAAATATACTGCTGCAGAGATTGGAAACATTCTCATTGGACGTCAAATGGTATTACGTAAAAGTACCGTTATTATATTTACAGAAAACGTAAACCATAATAATAAACTCCATTAACTCGAGTAAGATTTCGATCGACATTTCATTATAATTAATTTTTAATTAACTTGTTTGCTTATCGGTTAAAACTTAAGTACATATGCATAATATATGAATATATAGATAAGAATATTTATATTCATAGTTATGAAAAAATAAGATGTACAATTTGAAATATTAAAATAATAGAGAGCATGGATGTTAATAATATTTACAATTGATGGATATTTTCATTGTAAGAGTTAGAGAAAAAGAATTATTTTCATTAAATATTCTTAGAGCTTGTTGGAAAACGTAAATTCAAACAATCAAGGTTGAAATTAAAATTTGTATAAAATTATATTATTCATATAAAGAAAGCAGAATTTTTTATTTTCATAATTGAAAAATGAACATTTTTAATCACTATCCTGCAATTTATGTGTAATTATTAACAGATACATTTTTTTAATTATATTTATGTAAATTTTCAAAGAATGAGTTTACACGATGCATTATAAATCTAAAATTATATTACTATTTATTCACAAAAGATTGTATATGACTAAATACATATGATAAATTAAGATATATAGTTAAGCACGTAATAATTAAAAATCTAATTTTAAATTAATAGACATAATAAATATTATCAGAAAATATGACATTTGAAGTATTGACCTTAAATTAATACTATATATTACAATTTTGTAATCGCCACACGAAGGATTATTTTGGCATATGCGCACGCGCGCGTAATATATAAAACGCGGTTTATATAAAAATGAAAGTATATGATGATTTAATTGTTTAGATAAATATAGAAATAAATAACATTACAAAATCTTGTAAGCTACTGTTTTTATACAATTTTTCTATTATCTTTCGATTAATATTTTTCTCGATATAAAAAGATAATACCCTAATATTATGCAATTATAAAAAATATAAAAAACAAATTATTTCGTTATATGTGCTAATATTTTACTTGTAGATATTATTATATCTATAGACTGTAATATTAACACCAAATAGCGATGTACAATTTAAATAACAAAGAATAAAAGTAAGCAAATAAATTTTTATGTTCATAAAACAGTTTAGAAGAAGAACTAAAATAATAAAGGCATATTAACTTTATAAATTCGTATTGTAGACAATACACAAAACCCAAACTTGAAAAACAGAGCCCTTCAGCAAAGTCATTCAATGTTTGCTTTGTACCGCAGGTTTTTTCATCCTAAAGAGAAATAGTTGGGAGCGCAGTAGCCCTCAAATTTGGAAATCAAACAGACCGGGATGGGATGTAATATCGTAGAGACGGACCAAATAACATTTACGGTCACAAACGGTGACAGGTTTACTTTCTTATCTTACGCAAGCATTGGCCAAGAGAGGAGGCAGCAAAAGAGGAAGAGAGAGAGAGAAGCGACTATGCCATGTAAAAGCTACTCGGCAAGCAAACAATGACCGAGCAATAATTGGCAGTTGTTGGAAGAAAATACCATCATGGGCTTGAAGATAGTGAAGTCAAGATCATAGCCCTTTTTTTGAGTAATTTACCGAAAAATGATATTAATAAATATTATTATAAATACATAAAAATTAATTATTAATAAATTTATAATTTTCATTTTTCTCCGATTTATAATAAAATATATTAACTTATGAACTTAATGTTTAAAAACATATATTAGACAAATATGTATTAGATTTTTAGAATTCATTTAAATATTATATCCAAAATTAAATTTGTGCCATTAATAATTAGTATCTGTCCCGTATTATTGAAAAAATATCTACAAAACAAATTATTGATATAAATATACGCAAAAAATTATTCAGAAAATTTCACTAATTTGCATTTAGATATTATTGACGTTCAAATTAAATTACATTAATTGATTACCTACATATATCAATCCGTAGGATGAAAGAGATAAACCGAAGCTCGAGTATATTTAATATACGTTATCATTCGTAAGTTCGAACTACGAAAGAATTTTTTAAATTGTATTTCAATAAATATAATATTTCTTATATAATATTTCAATTTAAATTGTATTCAAATTGAGATTATTTAAAGAAAATTAAGATTCAATTAAAATTCTTACTAATTCTTTATTTTTCAATTATTTTTTATATTTAATAATCAATCTGCAACAAAAATAATAATTGCAATTACTATTACAGTCTGTTATTAAAAATTTGAGAATCTTGTTCTTAATATAAACATATTATAATTTATTTAGATACTTTCCAATTTAAAAATCGAAACAAATTTAAGGTTCCGTATAGTCAAATATAAATTTAATTTCCATGTAATTTGCCTCTAACCGTAAAATGCGATCGAATATTTAAAAAATGTTTATCTAAACTTACTGTCTAAAGATATACTTAGTAAAATTAAGATAATTTTACTTGTTTTATTAAACAAGTGCACAATAATATCTTTTTATTATAGTAGTAATAATTTTAGATAATAATTATTTTATTATTATATTTGAAAACGAAAAGATTCAACAGAAACTTCGAAAATTCACAGACTTATATTATTTATGTGTTTACAATAAATATATCTTAATCGAGTATATATTAAAAAGTTTAAAATATCAAATTATGTCAAATATCAATTTAATTTTAATAAAGTGTTAGCTACTTATATTGTTTCAAATATGAATTACAGATCTTTAAAAACAATTGATCATACTATCATTTAATGTGTGCATTCATTTTGTAAACATTATTGTTCATGAGTCATACATTGATGTTGAATGTAATACGTAACCTCTTCGAACATGCACATATAACAAACTATATATAAAAAGTCAGAAGAAAGTCAATGCACTTGGAATTTGAATAAATATTATGAATTACTGCAAATCGACTATAAATGTTTTAAAATAAATTTACTTATTTAATATTAAATGAATTTCACTTGAAATTTCATGAACCAAATGAAACAATTCGATTAATAATCGAATCCTAGCAGTTAGTCACCTTATTAGTGCGATCATTTATTTAAAAAATATTGTATAACGGCGCTTTTAAATCAAGAAATTTCAAAAGAATACGATCAAAATTACAGATTCCTCGTGAATCATTATCATGAGTCACATTGATTTTTATCGTACTGTTAGAGTATAATCTTAGTATACTTCTTGACTTCCGAGGTTGCCGCACATACTTCACATATATCTTTACAAGAGTTTCATGTCGTGAGTTGTGATCAAATAATTTCAATTAACATAAACTTTATAATGCGAGCCAGGAACATAAGAATTTTTCATTAAGGCTTAAAAGAATTACATTTTATTTCGAATAGCGCCTTTTTTCACACAAATCAGTACCACGTAAAATTAATATCATAATTAAAAATTTATCAGTTAACAAATATACTAATATATCATATGAATTTTATAATTTATTTCAAAATAAAGGGAAAAATTCAGCAAAAACTCTAGCATGACATTTGGTCATAAAGTTGGAACTATTTTAGGAGCTTTGTTTCACTAGAATATTAAACGATATATAATGATGTTTAATTAACTAAAGTTCGCAATTGATCATAGAGATTTTTTAATAAATGTTCTAAACGCCAGTTCCAAGAGTCGCCATTAATTTAAACAATCGAAATGTCGTCGCAAATTTGTGTTACCATTAATTTTAGATGGTCAAGATACAAAATGTTCACTTGTGAATACACATCGTATATTAAAATACGCAAATTTGTATTCTGGGCGCACTTTTACAATAGGAGGGCATAGAACATGCCAATCGACCGCAAAAAAAGGAAGGCGAGCGGTGCGAGTACCTGAGAGTATCGGAAGTGCGAGGGCGCAACAGGTGACGATCTCGCCCTAGCTCGAGGTGTAATTCCTCAGGTAGAGCCGATCATCTGCGTCTGCATGTAAACACTCATTGGCTTGATGCTCGTGCTCGCAAGGGAAAAGCGGCTGGGGCGGAGAGGAAAAGTAAAGTCGGTGAAAAGTGGTGGAGATGGCGCGCGCCTCCCGCGGCGACAAGACAAAGTGATTTTCGATACGGTCGTTGTGCGCGCGCATCGTGGGCCTCAACCGGGGTTCCTGCATCACGCAGGTAGTCGAAATCGTGCGCTCGAAGGCGGACTTATAGTAGAGAGAGAGAGAGAGAGAGAGAGAGAGAGAGAGAGAGAGAGAGAGAGAGAGAGTGTAAGTACGTGGTGGGCTGAGGAGAAAGAGGAAGAGGAGTGCGTCGGCATATGAAGCTGCCAAGGAGCGAGGGGAGAGATAAGAGGATAG